TGTGTACCTCTCCCAATTCGGAGACAAACCTTTGCCCGCTTTGCCATCTCCTCAACGCATTTCTTTCGCAGCTCAAGATCCAAACCTCCTTGTACAATTGGAAAAAGTGCCTGATCCGATCGAGTATGCGCTTTCTCGCAGCGATCTAGCCACCTTAAAAATGCTAGCAATGCAAAATCAAGCCAAATAGATCAAACATCCTAAGAGCAGTATAATCCACATTACCTAATGCTCCTTTGCATAGCCTCTTCAACAATGTCTCCAGTAGTGAGAACATGAATGACATGATCCAACTGCATCATTATGTCTGCGCCTAGGGCCTAAATGTTTACATTTTAAGCGATTAAAGAGGCTACCAACAAGATTGATGAAAGCTTCACCTGCTGTATTTCTATACTCATTTCCGGCGGGAGTGACATTTGTTCAGCAGTATGAGGACTTTCAAAATTGACGCCATGCTCGTCGACCGACATCAATTTGTTTAAAGATACCATCTGAACGTTAGCCAGAAAATTTCGTAACAAAGTAATTTTGACATTGTGTATTACATTCTAAACATCAATTGTGTACTCCTGAAGCAGTTTTAGCTAATTCTAGAAGATCGCATGTTTTTACCCTAGACCTTACTGCTATCCTAAACCATCACCGTTTACTAGAAAGAATGAGGCAAGTCCGATAGCAAGAAGTATCTAAATAATTTGACGAATTTATCTCAGGATCCGAAATCGAAAGGGGGGCTGATCCATCTCAAGACTTGGGCCTCGGCTTTAATCCTTCCCAGCCGTTTCTTAGCCAAATAATTCTAAAAATGGTATTCAAACGTGTCTTTTCGGAAGTTTCTTTTAACATTAAGAAGATGGCCTGATTTTTGAGTATATTGCGATAAAGTGCTACACATACTTACAGTTAGCCCACTCATTTTCTAGAGCTCCCAATTCAATCCATTGTTTTTTTAATCATGAGGCTGACGCGAGTGATCTTCCACCAAAATTTGTATATAATAGCATACATGTTTCTATAAAACTCCAACTTGCTGCTATTGACTGATATAAGGGTACAGCATTTTGTTCATTTTTACTGGATGTCCTGGGCATGCCACAAAGCCAATGCGATAAAAACCGATTTCCACCAGTCCCACGTTCTGCTTTCCGTGTTCGAGTGTGTGAACGATGAAAAATATGGAGAGTTCCAACCAACTCTCCATATTTTTCGTTTTGTTCTCTTGCGGCATAAGAAATGTCCTGAATACTAATGTAAAGTACTAGTTTTGCGCTGTTACAAAACCATTTATGTTCAGAAAGAAGAAAACGGGTTAACAGATCAAACCAGACTTACTTTCAGTGTGAAGGAGCTTTAAAGATTAATAAAACAAGCATTACCATATAAAAAATTGTAACCTTAGCTGACACTGCGTCTGCAGTAAATTTCGATATGCCAATTAAGTACCGCTTATCTTTTGCATTGTTTGTTCTTTTCTAAACAATGCACAGATATTG